CTTGGGGTCATCCCTTCCAATTTTTTCCAATAGTGAGTCCCGGTGGGCAGTGTTCCAGCCTTCTGCAACTCCACTAGCTTGCAAGAGTTGGCTAAAAATTAACATTAATGAATAGAAAACTTCCTTGCTTTTGCTATTATCTTTGGATGTACCTTATCAAGATCTGCTGGTTTTTTAATATTAGTGAGCACTGTCTCATCCCCCTTTGTTACAAGTTACATACAAAACTAGGTATGGTACAAATACCTCCTCTTAAATCATAAACACAGCAAGTTGGGTTTTTTGGTTGGTTTTTCTGTTTGGTTTTGTTTTATTAACTTGTGGGGTTTTTTTCCCCCCAAACACAAATATTTCCTAATTCTATATTGTACCTACACCTAGATCTTTTTCTCGTTGCATGTAAAAAATTGATGCCTTCTCCTCTGAACCTACATCACTGACATCTCCATGGTTAGCGCATTTCCTTTCTCACCTGCTTCTTTGTTTAAGTTTGCAATTATATTCACTGCCATTTACTTCCTCCTCCTTTTCATCCTCCTGGCCTAATGTGCAGAATGTTTTGTCATTTTATTAACAGTTTCATTGACTGTGGAATCATGCCTTTTTGGCCATCAGCATGATTTTGTTGAATACTTTATAGTTTCCATTAACACCTCCCTTTTAAAGGTACTTTCCTGGGCAGTTACGCTGCCAATTGTTTAAACTCGAAGAAACAGACTCTTCTGAAGCTTCTTGCACTACTGCCCGATGCCATATTCTGTTTGCAGAAAGTAAATACAGACAAATAACAATCACTGGTACCTAGGCAACCGTGGGATTTCAGGTCAGCTATTAACTCTTCTTTATCTGCTAGAACAAGGTCAACTATTGATTTATTCCACAGAGGGTACAGAACTGTGTGCATTAAAAACTGACCTATTCCTTCTAGAAGCTTTCTGGAAATCTTTTTTATTAGCATCATGAAATGTCAAGTAAATATTACCTGTTTTAAGCAGCCTATTTTATTTGGCTCTCTATAAGAAGTATATACATAAGGAAATATGTGTTCCACTCCTGAGGATATCTCAGGGACCTGTTAGAAACATGTAATAGGCAAGAGATAGTTTGAAACCCAAATAACTTGAATTTGTCAGAAAACCCTTATGTCTGCAGCTCTCACAAATGGTGATGGTTTAGACAGCATTATGTAATAACCATTTAATCATACATGGGACAACACATCTGAAGTCCACCTCTACTCAAGTCTGGACGAAAGCATTAGCTAATGTTCTGCGCCCCAAGACTGGGCTGACCTCTCACATGCTGTTCCATCCTCAGGGGACTTCTTTACTCCCTCCCTCCCATCACATTTATTTCTTCCTCCACAAGCTCTGCTGTCTACCCAATTCCTCTCTTTGTACAGTAGCTTGGGAAAATCACTCCAGGCAAGGATTTTGAGTTTCTCAGATATGACGTTGAGGAGATATGACCTGACACGAAGAAGGGAGAGGGAGATGATGGGAATTACAAGATAGCCATAGCTGAAGACTCAGACAACCATGAGTCCCCTGTAGGAGAAAGGGTTGGTTTCAGTGAGTCACCCAAGGGAAAGCGTCCTGATCCTGAAAAAGAAATAGGAGCAAGGAGGATTCCGAAAGAAATGGTCTCCTGCTTAAGGCTCTGAGCATGCTGAGAGAAAAAGGGAGATGTGCAAGAACCATTGATTATTTCCTTGGCAAAGTAGCAAAGTCTTCTATTACAGGAAAATGGCACATGTTTTCTGTGCCCCAAAAGATGAATGCTCTTCTGGTAGGTATACCTCTCAGCAAACACAGGTCCAGGTGAACTAGCAAAAGGTGTTATGGGGAATATACCATTTACAGCAGTTAAAATCACATCATTGTGCTAGAACTTGAGATGATGTTTAAAGAAAAAATAAACAAAAAACAAGTAACTTGAGGAACACCCAAAACCAACCCGTATAGCATATTTCTCCACCCCTTCTGTGTACAAGTGGCACCATATGGGCCCAAAAAAGGATAGGAAACCTTAATGCAAGCACTTAGGCCGCATTTCCTACAAGTCACTTCTCAGGACAGCAGTTCATTCAAATTGCCTGGGTCTCACAATCTGCAAAGAGATAACAGACACCAGGACAGGGGTGTTCTTGTCAATTCCATCTCATCCATGTCCCCTACACCAGGAGCACAAGGAGGAACAGCATCAAGGTGAACAAGCGTGAAAGGGGCCAGTCATCAAGCCAAGCACCGGTCCCAACAGAAGGGCCAGCAAAGAACATGGAACAATTTATGTAAACGATGAAGCTCCCAGGAGAGAGGAGCAGCAGTAGCACAGAGCAGGACATGCTAAATACAGATTTGTAGCAGGTGGTCCAAGAACTGGCTGTGATTTCAGCAACCTATTTATCCAAACCGGACGGAACTGCCTACCGCACAGCCCTGCAACAGCAAAAAGCAAGCTAAAAAACACAAAAGCAGAACAGGCAACTGAGAAGATTCAGCAATCACAGATTGCCAGAAGAAGAGTTTCACCCTGAAAACATTCCCACAGATGTCAAGTGTGACAATCTAATGTACAAACAACACGGAAACAAATCCAGGCCTCTTGTAACAGAATCGTAATTTTGTCTGGGACCTACCTCCAGAGGTCATTTAGTGCAATCCCTGCTCAAAGCAGGTCTAACGAGATTTGGTTGGCCAGGCTGTGTCCAGTCAAGCCAAATACCTGCAAGTATTGAGGTTCCACCACCTCTCTAGGCAACATGTTCCACTATTTAACTACCCTCACAGTAAAAAAAAAAAAAAAAAAAATTTCCTGACTTGTAATTGAAATTTCCCATGTTCAACTTGTGTTTGTTGCCTCTCATCTCATCATTACACACAACCAAAAAGAATCTGACTACATCTTTTCTGTATCCTCTAATCAGGTAGTTGAAGACAAAAATATCCCCCCTCTGTCTTTTCTTCTCAAAGCTCAACAGCCCCAGGTCTCAGACTCTGCTCACATGCCATGTTCTCCAGCTCCCTGACCATCTTAGTAGTGCTCAATGGGCTTGCTTCAGTATTTCACAAAATCACAGAATCATTAAGGTCAGAAAAGACCTTTAAGGTCATCAAGTCTAACCATCAACCCAACACCACCATGCCCACTAAACCACATCCCGAAGTGCCACATCTTCACGTTTTTTTTGAATACTTACAGTGATGGCGGCTCCACCAACTCCCTGGGCAGCCTGTTCCAATGTTTGACCACTCTCTCAGTAAAGAGATTTTTCCTAATATCCAATCTAAACCTCCCCTGGAGCAACTTGAGGCCATTTCCTCTTGTTCTAGCACTAGTTACTTGGGAGTTCACTTGGTACTTCACTTAGATGAAGTGCACTTCTTGCACTGGGGAGCCCAAACTGGACACAGTATTTCAGACGCAGACCAACAAGTGCTGATGATAGGGGAAGGACCACTTCCCTGGGCCTGCTGGCTACTCATTAACACAGCCCAGAACACAGTCAACCACCTTTGCTGCAAAGGGCACGCTGCTGCTTATGTTCGATTTGTTGTTCATGAGGACCCTCAAATCTTTTACTGCAGACCATCTTCCTAGACAACTAGCCCCCAGCCTGTACTGCTGCAGGGGTTACTCCCTCACAGATGGAAGGCCTGAAACTCACTCTTGTTGAGTATCTTAAGATTCCAGTCAGACTATTTCTCCAGCCTTGCCCTCCTGCATTTTGACCACTCCTCTCCATTTGGTCTCACCCACAAAATAGCTTCTTCTGGGCACAAAAACCTTCAAGGACAAAGAGCAAAGATCTCTCACAATATATAGTAATTGGGACTCTTACTGAAAACCATCAGTGACATTTTTAACATTTCTGCACACTTTGTTCACTTTGTACTGTCCAAGCTATGAACAGATAAGCCCAATTCGTCCCACATTTACAGTAGTCTAAGCTTGAAGTCCATGAATTTAACACATTTACATACTGTAATACTACTCTCCATGTGAGAGGGTGTGTGTATGTGCATGCATACACCCCCACGCATCTGGCTCAAGAAACACAACAACTGAAAAAGGAACACTGCAAGATTTTGGAGGAGCAGCTGGCTATGCAATTAGGACCAAGGTATATACTCAAAGCCTAAGGTGGCAAGAGGAACCTTGGGTTTAGTCTTTCCTGACTTGAGACCTCTGCGCTGCAACATTTAAAGTCTGTTACCTTTAGAAATAATAAGAAGTATTTCTGAAGATTTTAAAACATACCACCAACTGAAGATGTTACCATCATATCAACAAGTCAAGAATTCCTGATGATGATGATACACAGATAACTTCACCTCAAGGTTAGGTCATAAAGCATCTAACTCATTTATTTCTGTGTCCACATGGAATGGGTGACGACCTATACTCACGTGAACAAACCCTTCCTCAAAGAGCTTATAAATTAAGAATGATAAGTAGCATAAGTAGCAACAAAGATTAGGGAGGACAAACTATTTGGTCAAAAGAAACAGAATGTGTATCATACACAATGTAAAATACCATCTGACTTGCACTAGGTTTTCCACATGTAATAGCTAGTTGGCCAATTCCTTACAGCAATTTTTCATCACAGAAGTGGATCATGAGTTGAGACATAAATATTTCAATAGTTTCCAAGCAACTGAAAAACAGTGCTTTACAAAGGATATATTAAGTCAACATTTAATCCTAGTCTTTACTGGAAAATAAGATGAAGTTTGTTTGGCTTTGGTTTATTTTTTTTTTCCCCCAAACCAATTGTTAGGTTACACTCAACATCTTGATATGAACAACACAGTTACAGTTTTTGTGTGTATCTACCAGTTGAGGTAAATGTTACCATTTGTCCTAGTCCTGCAAATACTTTACAGTGTACTGACTATATTGAGGAGAAAGGGCTTTTCCTTCAAATGAATACACTAGCACCATGTGGCCCACCTGTGGGGAAGGAGAATCTGCCTGAAAAGGTGCTGGTAACTTACCCCAAACATCTGCCGAAGGTCAGGATCTCGAAAGCGGAAGGGAATGTTAGACACATGAAGTCGTTTTGGAGTGGATTTGCTCTCGGTATTCTCACTGCTCTGTGTCTGTGATTGCTGTCCATCTGTCTGTGCCCCTCCTTCTGTCTGCTGAAATCAGAAAGACAAAAGTGTGCGCATGAACAGAAACCACACAAATTCCTTTCACGTGCTTTATCTATCGCTTTTAGGTATTGGTGCTACACTTGTGATTGTGGTATCTGAACATTTGACAATTATTTTGATAAAGCCAGTAATGCTTAACAATTGCTCTGTTCTTTCCCTCCCTTTCCATGAGTAAAACAGTAATGAGATCTCAGCCTCCCTCCCCTCAGATCACTTTTTAGCTTAGTAGATTTGCCTTTGGTTTTCTTAAATTGCTTCTTTCTTTTCCCCTGTTCTTCCTCACTTCAGCTGCCACCATATGAAAGCTCTAATGAAGAGGCGGATCTTTCATATCCTGAAGCTGGGAGGGAGTACCACCACTCTAATCTCATGTGGCAGGATGTTCATGCAATCATCAAAATCCCACAGCTGAAGTGGCAGCTCTTCACTGGGCCAATACCAGAAATGCATCCCCAGGCAAAACGGCATCTGCTCTGTCAAACTCCCTTCAGAGAAACATTGCCCCAAAAGAAGATCTATAATTAAATTGTAAAATCCATATAGGAACAGCTTACGGATGTCTTTGATTAACTTTTCTCATACATTTAAAAGTCAACTCAGGGACAGGAAACAGTCATTACCACTGCAGGATTTATACAAACTCAAAGTGCTACTTTCTACTACCAATTTCACAGCTAAAACAAGGGAATTTGTTCCAGCATTCCCAAACACTTACCGGTAAAGCAAAGACAGAGGTGTGGACCAGAGTACTTGTGCACAGAAAAAGTACAGCAAAAAGGCAGAGGAACAGGGGAGATCAGTGTACCAGAGGAGAGACCTAACGCGCCCACAGAGATGACTGGCAGCAGAGAAGAAAAGAAGAGAACCTCAGCTGCTTGTGCTGGGCTTAGACTAAGTAGTGGTAAAAGTTGAGCACAGCACTAAATATAAAGTCAAGGACCCTTTGCAAAATGGTGAGAAAATGGTATTTTTCACACTTTAATCAGAAAAATGACCTCAAAAACTCAGCACTACAGAACAAAGCAGACTACAATTTGGTCGGTTTTATTCCTCTGCCCCTTTCCAAAAGCATGCATTGACAGGCCAAGGTATTCAAAGAGCACCTACCCGCTCGCTCTGTCTCCCGCTGCTTGCCTCAGTCTCTTAGGAGTCATGCTTTGACCACCTGTGTGATGCACTTTTAAGTGTCATTTCATTTCTTTAGATGCCAACCCGACTTCTTCCTTAACCCATCAAGTGAAAAGAAGTTCTACGAGAAGGCAAGGGCCATGTAATAGCTAGAGTTAGCCTTTTTTATGCACCTTCAAGAGCACATGCAGGCCTTAAAAATAAACATTTAAGAGTAGGAGGTTTTGTTGCTGTTTTGGGTCCTTTTTTCCCCCGGCCATTTTAAATACACAATTTGTATACTGAAGATGAAAGAAATCTCAGGATAGTTGCCCACACTGACTCCCCAACCACTGACTGGACTTGCTAGGTTGCTCTGCACATCATACAATATAGAACGCTTCATGAATATTTGGAAAGAAACATCTCTCCACAGGTAAACTAAACTGGCAACATTAAGAGAGCTGCTTCTGGCCAGCAATGTCTCTTACAGACATTGAATGTGCATAGTGGTTACAAAGCACTGACAAGAGCAAGCAAACAGTAAGCACCAGAGTCTTGTCGCACTGAGCAAAGCAGTGGCAGCTTTCAATTGTATTTTAGTAGGGCTGCACAGGCAGCACAAAACATATTTGATCTGGTTAATATAAATTAAGCTGTGATAGGAAGAATGAACATACTGCCCTGCAAGTATCTCTATTTCCCAGAACAGCGCAAGTCTCAGGAGAAGCCTAGCAGGATGAAGCATTTTTATTTGGCTAAGACTCATCCATCCCCCAAACATCACATTTTCAAGAACAATCTCAGAAACTTCCACTTGATCATAACTAAAAACCTTCCTCCCCCTCTCCAAGTCCCCACTCTTCTCCTTCCCTATGACAAAAAGCATCTCCAAATATACAGAGAGTACACCCCAGGGGAAGAATCAATGCAGCTGGCTTGCGATTAAATCACACTATGCTATTTGGTGGTTTTAGTTTTATGACTCCATCAGAGTCCTTTGCTCCTGAGGGCAAATCTGTCCAAGAAGGACAAAACACAGGAGGAGCCTATCCATCACCACCATACACAACACCTGCAAGTAAGTGTTCCAAAACAACACCCCAAAATCATCAACACTCCTGCTAAAAGAGATCTCTACAATCCATTGTCCTAGTTTTGGCTAGGATAGAGTTAATTTTCTTCCTGATAGCTAGTATAGTGCTGTGTTTTGGATTTGGGATGAAAATACTGTTGATAACATATTGATGTTTTCAGTTGTTGCTAAGCAGTCAAGGACAGTGCAGCTTCTAGTGCTGGCCTGCCAGAAGGCTGGGGGTGCACGGGAAGCTGGGAGGGAGCACAGCCCAGACAGGTGACCCAGGCTGGTCAAAGGGGTATTCCACACCGTATGACGTCATGCTCAGTATATAAACTGGGGGCACTGGTTGAGGAGGCACCGCAGCTTGGGAACTAACTGGGCATCGGTCAGTGGGTGATGAGCAATTGTGCTGTGCACCACTTGTTTTGCATATTCTTTTATCATTCTTACTACCATTATTATTATTCTTTCTCTTCTGTCCTATTAAACTGTCTTTATCTCAGCCCATGAGTTCTACCTTTTTTTTTTTTTTTTTTTTTTGGCCAATTCTCTCTCCCATCCCACTGGTGGGGGTGGGGGTGTGAGTGAAAGGCTGTGTGGTTGTTTTAGCTACCTGCCGGGTTAAACCACAACACCCACTGCGGAGCCCTGCTACTGCATCTGCCAAATCCATGTTTTCTATGGCTTTGTGTGGAACTGGCAAGTGGGTAAACACTCATGCACACAGATGCATTCTCAAACGCACTAGTGCATCTTCTGCAGTTGGAACGAGGAAAGGCACAGATTCTGAATGGTGACAACAAAAATGTTTTAGTCTTTAAATTGACATATAGGTTGCCCAGGACTGGATCTGCCGCTTCCACAGGGGAAGAAGCCAGGAGGTCATTTGCACTCCTCTCCCATCCATTTGTTCGCAGGCAGAGGGCAGAACTCCTTTCTTACCAAGGGTGCGATGTATCATGTACAGTGGCCTGCTCAAAAACACTCACAGCTGTTCCTGCATATGGCAGAGCGCTGCTGCCACACAGAAGTCATTCTGCAGCACGTGAGACGCGTACAGTAAGACAAAGGCTTCAAAGAGGAGAAATAATAGAAGGAACAGGAGATCTCAATCCACTCTTACCTTTTTGACTACACTAAGAGTCCCCAAATGCTTTTCAGGCTTTCACATATCCTGATTTTTTTACCGGTAGTTTAACATTAAATACCTTCTCTCTGCAGCTGCTGTAGCGCTCTCATTTCTATCGTCCATGGCCCAAGGTAAGATTTGAACTTTCAGCCACTATAACATTAGCTCAATATGTTTGTCTACCACCACACATTCAACTACAACATAAATGAAAAAATAGTCTCTTCAGATCTTGCTTTTTTTTTTCCTTTCCTTCCCCTTTTACAGTTATTCCTCGTCTTAGTTCATTAGGAAGGAGATGAAAGCAAGGGCCTGGAGCCTGTTCTCAGGCAGCACATAATGGAGACTGGCAACAGCACTACCCTGACCAAGCCAGATGATAAAAGCCTGCATTTCACCAAGTGCCCACTCCCCACCCTGACTCCTTCCCGAGTTTCGTCTCCTTCCTTCTGGAAGGAACTGGCCGCACTTCAACACTTCACAGAGAAGAACCAGCCTTCTCCCTTCACTACAGACATCAATTCAGCTTGGAAGGGAGCTAATACATGTTCCCTAGGTCTCAATGCCTGTCATCAGGCAACGCAGAGACATGCTGCGGCAAAGATCCTGCGCTAGAAACAGTATTGGATCCACCTTACCTCCTCAGCGTAGTCTGTGTAACATATACTTATGCAGGTGATAATGTCATTCATGCCTGTACACGCAAGCTTTGAGCTCTGCTCAAGGTCATCGAGAAATGCATCAGAGCTCAGGACACGCACAAGATGTGCTTCACTTTTAACTACTTGCTGCCTGTGCCTCCATGCCAGCTCCTCCCTAACACCCACCAGCAGTAAGGAAACCCTGAGCAAGAAGAGCCAGCTGCAAAGAGACGCATGGATGTATACATGTGCATGTATGCACGTAAAAAGGGAGAAGGACTCCTGCCAACACGAGGGTGTTCTGAAAGGTTTGGGGGCAGCTCTACAGCCAACTTCCCAGCAGCTGGTGAAGAAGCAATTGCTGAGGCTTTTTCCTCAGCAGGATGGAGGCAGGGGCTCCAGTGCCACCTGAGCTCTGAGCAGACCTCCATCTGCATGGCCAGAGGGCTACCTCCCCAACCAGCCAGACAAACACCAATGTGACAGGCCAGCACAGAGACTACTAATACCCAGCACATTCTGTTTTCATCTCCTACTTGCTTCTAGAACTGGAACCGCTTCAGGTCCAAGTTATAGAAAAGCAAAAAAACAACCCATATCCTCTTCTCCCAGGAAGCAGGCGGTCTAAAATGTTGTGAATTGTAATGAGGAGGTTAAGAGCCATAAATCACCGCAAAGAAAAATATTTACAAAATACAAACTGTAACTAATAACTATATTTAAAAGAGTACTTGGGTGACTTACAAAATCTGGGAGACAGACTGTGCTCACTCCACTGCTTCTAGACCAGTCTCTGATAAAAAGAACAAAACGCAACAAACCAACAAAACAAAAAAAGACCTTGTTTGGATCAAGAGCTTGAGGAACTGCGTGGAGACAAGGACTGAAAGCTATGACTGGCAAAAGGCAACCTTCCCACTGCAAAGGAGAGTGCAGACAACATGGGAAGATCTCTGCACCTTCTAGTGAAGAACTCGTGTCAAAACAACCAGTCACCCCCCTATGAACAGATAACCACTGAGCTGGTCTGATGGAAAAACAAGCGAGGAAATTAGGCACTACACACCAAACCCCTCTTCTGCCCCTCCACACTCTAGAGTAGGACTGAGGTCCTACACATCCAAAAGCAAATGCATGGGAACTTCTGCTGCTTAAATGACACTTGTTTAGCAGACAAAAGACCACAGGGGCTAATAATCATCTTTCAACAGCAGTAAATGCAATTTCAGAATTATATCCATGTACTTGATTTTTCAGAGATGCCAGCAGTGTTATATTGGAAAAAAAACTCTGGGCTACACTACAGGCACAACTAACAACATATGCCAAAAACCAGACAAAAAAAACATTCCTAAGGACATACCAAGTAACTTCTGCTAGGCTTTTAATGATTTTCAATATGGCCAGATTAATTCAGGGCGTATTTTTTTCTGCTTATTACTTACCTGTTTTCAGACATACTGAAGCTTATGTAATTTTGTTCACTTTTCTCATTAAAGAAAGATATACCCCCCTGAAGTCAGAACACAAACCTCACATAGGAAAGCACATAGGAAGTTTTGTTACCTATCCTGCACAACGAAGACATCTCTGATGTGTCAGATAACATTTTCCATGTAGTGATGTTTAAAATTACTTTGTTTTTTCTGAGCAGTATTTTTAATAGGATTCTTTGATTTCCCCCCCCACCCTGTTTTTTTGTTTTGGTTTTTTTCCAATGAAGTGGTGAAATGAAGCCCCCTGAAAGGCCTGCTCTATTCATACCCTTTGTGAGCAGTTCCAGCCCATTCCTCACAAAACAGGGATGCTCTGACAAGGTGAAGGTGGCAGTAAGACTTCCTGAACTAGTGGTTACCCCTGGACCACTCCACTGACAGTGGCAGAACAGCCACAGAGTGACAGACTAAGATCCATCCAGCCCACTATCTTCTTCCTGACAGCAGCCAAATCTGTGGCATCTGTGGAAGAATGTAAGAACAGGGCAAACGTTCCGTGATTTTTCCTCCAGCACAGCCTCCAGCAAACTGAGACAGCTGATGTCTCAACTTCCAAAGCATCCTATGGACAAGAGTTCCAATGCTAAATCCTTCATTATATGGAAAAACCAAGGAGCAAAAACCTTTTTCCATACATGGCACCTGATTCTGTAAGTGCAAATGTTCCCTATTTTATTTCCTATACCATTCAATATTCTATGTACTTGTCATATGCCTTCATTCCTGTCAGCTCTTCTCTTAAGGGACGACTTCATTTCTTCTCATAAAGAACCTGCTACCTTTCATCATCAGTATTATACTTCCCTGTACTACTTCTAGATCTGCTATAACCTTTGAGATATGCAGAAGTACCACAGATGTATACTCTAACATAATGATATTTGCTGATTTATTTCCTATTTCTCCCTCAAAATCATTTTTAAATCTGCCTCACTAGACACAAGTCTACAAGTGCTGACAATAATCTGTCTCATACTCGAAATAATAATCTGCCTTGTACTCAAAGCAAATTTCTGATGTTAAATGTCAGAAATTGCTACCTCAAGACAGCAATTTCCAAGCTGAGGTGGCCAAACAGTCAGCAGCCAGCTACTTATTCAAAGCTAGTTCTTCCTCGTGTCTACCTGCTCAGCAGTATCAAAAGATAAGTGAGGATATTCATTAAACATACTCTTCACCTGAAATACCTCACATGAGCAATTACTTTAATTACTAACGTGATGAAAAATAATTACAGAGGAAAATTCTGCAGTCTCAGACTAGGCAAGAAATACCCAAGGGAGAATCATCATTATAACACCATCCATGTGTTACATAAGTCAGTTGAGGAACCAACCCTTGGTGCCATTGGCTCCCTTCTTTCCAAACCCTTGCTACACATATGGGGCACAGCCAGATGACCGAGCAGCTTCCTATTCTTGCTTCAGAACACAGTACATAGGGGTTCCCCACCACAGACGTGTCTCCTTTAAGAAATCAGAAAGTCAGTATCCCTTTATGTTCTTGCAGATGAGTTAAAGATGTTTCAGTATGGCACATCAAGAAGCCGAGACACACGATTCTCTGTAATTAAATAATGCTTTATATTGGTTCATGACAACATAACACCAAGGCGACAGCACCTGCCATTTTCGTGCAAAGTAATTTACATAAACTTATTCCTCTACTTCTATACCTCCAGCTGCATTCCGTAATTTATACAGACACACAAATTCTTCTCTCTGACATTAACAAGAGAAACGAGTTGAATAATCAGCTCACAGTATTAAGTGCATTGCATTTACTATCAAGCAAGCTTTTTTAGTTCAGTGGATGATTAATCTTCCCTCCACGGGTAGAGTACCAGGAGATGCAGAGAGCTGACAACTGCTCTCGGCTTCTGGCCATACACTCCATACGCTTACCTTGCAACAGCAGCATTTGCTGGACCCCTCCAAGAGCTGCTCTAATTCATTAACCCAGCAAAAGAATTGGACAGCTTTCTGCCAGGTCAGTGAATTAAAGTGGTTCACATAAGGAATGCCAGAGCCAGTAAACAGGAGCGGGAGTTTGTGCTTGGAGCCAAATCTCTCCTTTCTGACAGCAGTGAATCTTTAGATCAGCTCAGCTGCCAGAGGTACTGCAGCCTAATTAGCATCTCCACTTGCAGCTATCCATGCTGCGTGGCTCCATTAGGGATAAGCGTGCTAATGTAAACCACGAAGGGGGAAGGGGGAAGAAACCAGACGACCCAGCACCATAAGAAGTGAGATGCAGAGTGTCAAAAGTTTAAGAGAGAGGCTGCAACAGGCAGACCAAGTAGGCCAAATATGGTCCGGTACCTCAATCTATTTTTAATCCAGGTCTTTCAGCTGTGCTTTTGGATGGTATCAAGAGAAAGGACAGATGCTTGGAGATGAAGACCGTGAGACCCACATGCCAGGCAAGGAACAAAGCCCCACAGATGAGGCTTGATCCTAAAATTAAAAAAGACTCCAAAATATTAAGCTGTTTGCATTACACCACCTATTGTGCCAATTTCCTTTCCATGTCCCTGCTCCGAGAGCTTTGAATGCTTTCCACTACACTCAAACCTCCAGAACTAGGCTCATCCTTAGCTGATGACACGAACCAGTCATTCCCCTTTGCTCAGGGCTTTTAGACTGCGTAGGAAGGCATGGACTTTGACTCCCTAAGTTTATTTTACTTAAGTTCACTGCTGATGTTTGACCTCAGGCTTCCAGACGACTATCGATTAACTCAGACACCACCGCTAATCTCAAATCATTCAATCTGACTTGCCCACTAGAATCTACCAAGTTTCTATGAAAAGATGCTCCCATCCAGCGTGTTAGGGACTCAGTTACAGACTCCATTATGTTGCTGCATAACATCTTACCAGCCAAATGAAACTCCCCTTTCCATGAGCGACCTTTAAGCCACTCCACATTCTCTGTTACTTTTCCAGCCTGAGAAGCAGGAAAGTCCCGCCATCTGAGCACACCTTCCGCTATCTTGCTCTGTCCTGCCAAATGGACCAAGCACAGGCCTTGTTTGTAAAAGAAAGGAGAGACCTTATCTGTCTGGCTGAAGGAATTTCTGAATCATCCCATGGGAGCACAGGCTTCAAGTCAGCAGCTAAAAAATCCACCGGCTGTTGGGTCTGGGGTATCGCCTTCACACACATGACAGCAGCTGCGCCTGTCAGTTGCAGTAGTGGGAGGGAAGGATCATACATCACCCGCAATGACTTTTTGCTCTATTAAAAAGTTGGCACTGTTATTTGAGCAAGACAACAAAATGGTAAAAGGAAAAAAGCATAGCAGTCTGGTCTACATGGACCGAACATGTATGTCAAACAAGTAATAACCAGTGTATGTGATGGACAAGGTGCTTGACATTAGCCGTAGCTGTTCAAGGTGAAGTCACCAACCAGTTCTGCTGTATTTTAATAGCATGCTTTAGTTCGAGTAACTACTAAGCCTTCTTCCTTCCTCTAGTTCCTACATCATTAATCAGCATACTGAGAAAGAGAAAAGTTACAAGCAATTACATCCCAAGGCAGCCTACAGAATCAAAATAACTTCATACAGAAGGAGTCCTAGACAACAAGATATAGGGACTTAGAAAATCCAGGACCCAGTGCATGTGAAAGTCTGGAATGTGAAAGATCCTTGGCTGAGGCGCCTTCCTGCTCCCGCCAGGTTTCTTCACGTGCCACTATCTGGGATCCTCTAGGTTCGATCAGTCCCAGCCACAGCACCTGCAGCAACACACTTGTCTGAGTCCTTACTCTTTCCTGGCTAACTACAGTCTGCAAGTCCGACTCTGCAAGCTCATCTTGCACATCTTTAACCATGTGAAATGGTCAGACCAGACGTGCCCACCTGTTTCTAACAGCCAGTACAAGCGTTCCATGTTATTCAGCCTGTTTCTCAGATAACCCCTGCCAATCAGGCTCCCTCCGCAGCCTCCTGGCAACACCGCTGCCTCCCAGCAGTCTCCCAGCAACACTCCCTCCCGCACAGATGAGCTCCCAGTCCCTCCTCGCAGGCTCGCCAGCCTCCCCATGCGCTGTGGGCTCCTCTGAGCCAGCATTAGTTGATGAAACACAGAGCTCGGCCCTGCAGCGCTGCAGAGATGGCTCCTAATATGGAAGAGGAGCGGGAAGGTTGGCAAGAGCTTACATCCAAGGTCAAAGCTTGCATCATTTCCATTAAAAAGAAATGCTCCTAAGCTCTGGGCAAGGATGGGAACAGCAAAAAATACATGGGGAAAGCCACTGCCCTGTTTTATTCCCCGTTTCCAGCTTTCCCATCCAACCAGCAGTGCCTGAGATAGCTGTTTGCTGGGGACGGGCAGCCCAGATCTTACGGGCTGGAAGGAGGTCGGACAATCTGGTACTAAAATGATGACTTGCATTTCTGCACACTGCACTAGCTCTAAGTTTATTTCCAGCCTGATCTCTTCTCATCTACATTTGTGTTTGCTGAGAAAGGCACCTGAAGTTCCTTTTACGCACTCTGAATGTGCTTTACAGGGTTTGTACTCTTTTTCTCCTTCAAGATGCTGAAGTTGCGGCATTCCCAGGATGAACTCTAAGATATCTTATCAAAGTCAGAACCAGCGATGTCAACTGTGCAGCCACTGCTCACTGCAGAAGGAGCAGAGGCGCACGCTGAGAAGCATGCACCCTCGAGCTGGCACTACCAGTTCTTCCAATCCTTGGCACTGCATTCACTCTGTACTTACAGGGGGAAAAATAATCTCTATGAGCCAAACACCTAACTACAAGTAAAACTGAAAGCATTAACAGATTAAATCCACCCCTGAATACCAAAGGCTCTCACCATAAGGCTCTTTATTAGGAAGTTAAGTCTTAACAAGTGGCTTAAGTGGTGGATAAAGCTTTTCCCGGGATAATCTGCCAGCATGTTGCCCACTGCCAGTTCCAGGCCATTGGAAGAAGAAAATAAATAAAAAAAAAAGGTGAAAAATCTTTGTTTGTCCATCTTCAGATGCCCAAGAGCTCAGTGGTCCTATCCTATTTTTGCCCCCTGAAGCCCCCTGCCATCTTCAGAAAAATCAAAGAAAATTATTATTCTACTCTGCTAGCTTCCTGAAAACAAACATTGGGATTACACCTACAATGCATGTACTCACCCTAAGCCTTTGTACCATCAACCTTTCATAATCTGCCTCCATCACATTCATTTGAACCATTCGCCAATTAACACAAGGTAATTAACACTTTTATAAAGGACTGTCTTTGGACAATGCCACAATGGTAGGAACACCATGATCCCAAGTACTACTGCTCTTTGCAGACACCTATTTACGAGAGGAAAATGCACAAGGGGAAAGACAGGAACTTAGTAATGCAAGGTCAAAAGCTATGTTTTTTTTATAATTCTCTCCTTTTCAAGTCTACCGCTGATCTGCTGTGTACTTAAGAAACAGTCAGCAATCTAATCAACGTCTGCTTTTTCTCAAAGCACCCGGGCTACTCCCCTGCTCTGCACTTACTGCGAGAGATCCGTTCTGCGTGCTGGCCGTGTTCGTGCTCTGCTCTCCATGTGGCTGCGTGCTTCCGTAGAGCGTCAGATTGTGCTCGCTGGTCTGGCCTGCATAGTCCTGAGTGTGTGGCACCCCATACTCTGTGGGAATCCCATTCTGTGGGGGTGGCGGAAATGGGATTGTGGTGAATGGCTGCACCATTGCATCAGGAGTTGCTGCTGGCTCCTGGTTACCCTGAAGAAAAGGAAAAGGAGAAAACAGCTTTATACTACAGAAGATGCATCAAAACATCAATCTGAGAAGTGATACACACACACACACGCACATGTTCATGTGAAAATCCCACCCATCACCACATTGCCCAGCCTTCTATTATTTTATCTACCAAAAAGAGCACAGCTTGCTCCTCTAAGCCATGACACTGTTTTCTTCATCTTTTTTGGGCAAATTCCTCACTACTGAGTGGCATATGGAGAACAAATTATGAGGCTTGCAAATTGCATACCCCGGTAACCTCACACAAGGCTTTACACACAGTAAGGCATTACTTTGGAAGAGGGAAGAGGCACTGAAACGTTGGAAAGGAGAGGAAAACACAGACAGAGGAACAGAGTTCTTTTAGGGATATTAAAGTACCACATCTGGGTCCATCTCCTCCAGCCTGACACTCATGGCTCTGCTCACAAGCAAGCACACCATGTAGTTCCGAGCACACTTCTCTGTTGTGTTAAGAGTAATAGAAAAGAAGTACGCTTAAAACCCATCTGTGCAGCAGCCACCTCCTTTGCTCTGGCAGCACTGAGTACAGAGCACAGGTGCTCAGGTATCAGTTGCTGGAAAATCCCATCTGCTTCTTGCTGGCCATGCAGAAGACACCAATGAGCTGTGAAGAACCGAGCTGAGACCACAAGTGGAGCATACTCACTCTCTCCCAGTCCTGAGCATCACTACCATCACACAAGGCATTAATTACCCACTCCTCCCTCATCTTAGGGTATCCCACAGAGACCTCTACACTAGGACAGTGGACTTTTTAGCAGCTTTTAGCACTGCCTTAGATGCAGTTGACACCAACCAGATGAGTCAGAAACAGACAACTGACAATGCAAAAGTTATCCCCAAAAGACAATTAAAAAAAAGTTACCGCACCATGTCTGAAAGCCACCCGAAGCAAACATGAAAGCATGCAGCCCTGCAGCCACTGCAGGGATCTCACCGAGGGGGGAGCAGGGAGCTGAATTCAGCCACCTGGGGCAAAGGAGAACAGCCTTGATATTGAAGCCCAACCCTGGGAAGCCCAGGCTGCTGCATCGCTCCTCCTACTTGCATCACCACAGCAGGAAAAAAAAAAAATATCCATGGAGAAGATTTATGATAGGAGGACTGTTTGATTTATGTGCACGTCAACAGACTAATCCTGATTTTAAATTTTGGCTGCTGTTCCAGCCCTGGTCCTCCCCCACAAAGCCCAGAGGTGCTCGAGCCTATTCTGACACCAGCATGCTGAAATCAAAGGAGTAAAAGCGAAGCAGACCTTATCCCATGGATAGGAAAGGCAGAGTGGGAATTACCAAGCAGCCTTTCAGCAGAGAGCATGCAGGGGCTGACCGACCTCTAGTGAAGCCGGACAAACCTTTCAGTGCCTTTATCAGCCTACCTGCAGCGTTCCCTTCTGGGCGAAGGAAACAATGATAAATGCAGCGCACCTCCAGCCAGCACTGGGTCATTCAGACACTGGCTGAATCCCAAATTTGTCTATCTGGTCTGCCTCCCCTGGGGGCCACGTGGCCACGCGCTCCCGCAGCTGGGGAGAAGGAGAGGGAAGGGCATTTAATACCACTTAGCAGAGCGGAGCTGCAGCCTTGGCCCGCGCCAAACAATGGACAGTTTCATTAACTGAAGTCCAGCCGCTGCAAAGCCTTGCTGCCTGCAGAAACACAAAACTCCGTAGCTTTATCTGAGAAAGAAAAATTCAGGCAAGCATGCCAGCCACAGCCAGTTCCTTGCACGCACTCCCCCGAGCCCTTGCAGTCGTGTGCTAGCAGCTCTGCAGAGGTTTTTCACACACCGAACTCATCTTCTGAAAGCAGTCAGGGCAGGTATTTCCCCCCCTCAACAGGGCAGCTCCACCAGCCCTCCACTTCTGCTCACTCTTTTGCCATTCTCAGCTTCAAAGCAGGGAGCTTCTGACTCAACCTAAACCATCATCAAGATCTGCAGGGTGAGTTTTACAAATGGGAGGGAGGAGAGGCAGAACAACGGCTATCCCGCTGCAAACCAGGTATCAGAAACCCCACCGCTCACCTACTCCGAGTATTTATCCCCTGTCACGACAGCTCCACTCTCTCCACATGCTGCCTCCTTTTCAAGCTCTTTTGCTTATAATATTTCATTTTATCCACCTGTCTGTGTGCTTCCATATATCCCACGTTCTCTGCCCACTTACTGTGTTTAAAACTGGAGCTAAATATGAAAACTCTCTCTCTCTTTTTTTTTTTTTTTTACTTATTTCAAAAATTGGTAGGGTAATCCCATGAAAGATGCAGTAGCAGAAACTACTTCCAATTTTCTTAGAACAACCTAGATTTACAAGTCAGTAGTACCCCAGATGGGAGGAAGAGAATGCTAATTAGCCACAAACAAAACCTATTCTGCCATCCTCTCAACAGCGCAGGGCTGCTCCCCGAAGAACATACTCCAGCATTTTGTTTAATCTCACTCTTGGACTACTTAAAATGCCAGCCCATAAACCTTATATAATCGTATTTTCAATGTACCCCTCAGTTAATACTGTTCCTTCCAGTTTAAATGCATTTCAACCTTGTAAATATTTTTCTCTCCCTTCTTTAACTATCTACAAATGTTTGAAGGACGAAAAATGTGCTTTCCCTCTTCTGTTGCTTGTGGTGTTTTGATAAAACATTTATTTTTAGCTTAATCACACCTCGCAAGCCAAAATATCCTGGTAACTTTATTTATTACTTCTCTCTGACCTTCGTAAGGTTTTCAAATAACGTATTTCTGGTGCAGAATGAAATGTTTTTAATACGACTGTCACTTCCCCCACCTGCCAATCGCACTAACATGCAAAAATCCTATCTTTTATTACAAATGTATCCTTAATTTAATGTCTCAGGTTATCTGTACATCTATCACCATTATGCTTGTCCAGGTTTCATCATTCCACAGAGCATCTGTATCTCAAATTATTTTTCTCTTGGTATGATTATGTACATACTTCCTGTCTGAATTTTTTTTGCAATTTTAATTTCCTTTGATACTTAGAATTACTTTTCTTCGGTCACCACTAGCATCTACAGAAAAGGACTCCTGATGAGATCTCTGCAGATTTCATGGCACACTGATATCCTCCAAATCCAGAGATTCTACCTCTTCTGTTAGTCTACCAAACTTCAACATTTACACAACACTGCATATTTTCAAGAACTATCACGGAAAAAAATAAATCCCATTTATCTTCAAACATAGAACCTGTACTCCCTTCCCTACTTCTAACCCACCAGGGAAAATCCTGCAGTCAGATGCACTGCTTTTCCCACTTCTCAGGAGGTACAACGAACATTGAGAAACCCCCCCAACTTCCTGATGAAGCTATGTAGGTAGGAGGAGAGACTCAACTGAAAGTAGTTTGTCTATCCAATCTTGACAACATACCTCACTGCACTGCCAGCCCTACCAGTTTTAGCTCATGAAATTCTCTTAAACACTGACTCAAATGCAACAACAGACCGAGACGACTATGTCCAGGAGTAGTCACCATCCCCAAACACATGCAAGCATGCCACCACAAGACTAGGAAAGCCCAGCTGCGGCTCCTCACAAAAACTACTGCCGTCTTCAACTTGTGCGATAGCATGAAATTAATCTTAAATAATGTTCAAGAGCAGACACACTTCTCAGCTACAATGCAGGGCGGCTGGCGTTCTCCAGGAGGGGTGCTTGAGGGACATTTGGCTGCAGGAATAATTTCAGGAGTTCCAGGTTAACTGATTCCCTCCATGCGTTTGTGTTGCCATGTACCAACCACGCTAGCTGTCACCCCATGCTCACCAAACTGGGAACGGCTGTTCAGTGCAACAGGAACTCAGTGTAATTAACACATGCTCCTTAAAAAAAAAAAAAAAAGGGAGAAAACTTCAGTACAATATATGGTAACGTATAGTTCAAAGAAACCCAGCAATCCTTATGTTTTCTGTTCATTCTGTTGTTCTGCTTCCACAGAAATCACTCATCCACATCAGCTAGGAATTCAAAGCAGCTCCCTTCTTGCAAAATGTTGACATCTGACTTATCAGCACCCAAGCCCTCAGGGCACAAGAGGGATACAGGATACCCGTCTGGGGCTCCCCTTTCAGGCCTACACAGCCCTACACAAAGGTCCAGCCATGTCCTTGCAGGTGCTAACTTCCTCCCTTAAGTCAGGGTTTTGCCTGCACAGCTCAGTGCAAACCTATCCCACGTTTTGTTTAAAAAACAAATTAGCTAAACCAGTGAAAAATCCCAAACGGGGACACATTTCTAGGAGTTTACGCAGCTTTAACTTAATTAACAAACTTTGTCACTCCAAGCTAAGCAGAGGAACGGTAAGTAACCACTCATAGTGGTACATTCCAGAAGGGTGGAAGCTAGGGACGACATCTCAAATGAGGAGCAACGTGGTTCAGCAAATGTGACATAGGATGAATTCTTTCAGCAGACAGCAGGTGGTGATCCAAGATCACAGCACTGGAGCGCCAAGAGCGAACACCAGAAATGCACACAAAGGGCTCCTACTTCCATAAAACTGTCAAAGATCAGTCTATTCTGTGAAGGGCTGGTTTTGTTTTGCTCATTAGAGAAGATGGGTGTAATTACAGGGCTATGAAAGGAGCCTTAAAGCAATGCAGCTCCAGATCCCTTCTGTATTGGTACGCCATAATACGCATCGATGCTAAAGCATAACCAGCCAAATAGATATTATAATCCTGGTAAAGCTAAACTGGTACAATTTCTGTATAGACATTTTCATGCAAACTGCCACGAGCTAAACACTCTGTGCTGTTCATAACCTTACTGTAAGTCATAAGCATCAGAAAAAGGTGCAGAGAAATGCTACAGCATGTAAATGTCAAATAATCTCTTAAATATGCCTTTCAACTCTGGTAACCCCCAAATCATTGGAATAAACGTGAGTATATGCC